TTTGTACGATCAAATTTCTCAATGATAATTACCACTTGCAAGGTTTTGAGATTATATTACCTCCATAAACCCAAGATTTTGGTTGAAGCAACTATAAGGCTAAATTAGTTGATGTGAACTATTTAGAATTGCGCCCGCCGAGATTAAACTGCCTACATCGGGTTCAAAACTCGCGCGGATGCTGGATCATACACACATCGTCTCTTCGTCTCAGATCCCAGGTCGGCATAGTTACTCATTCCATGAAACTGATTCTATAAATAATGCGAGGATGTGGGGCACGTCAAAAAAGTACGACGGAAAAAGACGTGTGCTATATTCGTATCACACAGGAGAACCCTTTGACTTCTTTTATAACAAACCGCTTTTTTAATTTGCCGACAGATTGAAGAGCGCGATCTTAGGGAGACTCTAATTTTGACTCATCCGAAAGAATGGCCGCGACATTTTTTATTAAAATATATTACATGTTCTTTATATTTAATTACGAGGCCGCTTTGCAGTGAATATTAATATTCATAAGTAAATTTCAGTGAATTAGGGATGGGCTTCACTTACCCCTTGCGTTATTAGGGACTACGGTTTATTTGTGTTGATATATTCTCGACGATAATAAACGCAAATGTACCGGAACTTGTCTACGGGATTATGAAACATTAAATCTATTTCGCAGTGCCCGTCGTTTTGGTTTAATATGTGAGTTGCTTAATTCTTAGCGCTATCGTTGAGGGCTTAAATAACCTGCATGCATAATATTGACTCGGATGTGCAGATTTAATTTCCGTATTTGTTCAATTATTCAAATACATATATCTTTTGCGTTGATTAATTTTACAGTGTACCTAACCAAAGAACATTTGAAGCTATTTCGAATTTTCATCATTCTCCATTGCTTTGAATTAAGTTTATTAGTTTGTTTGTCTATCTGTCTGTCCGCCAAATTGTAAATAGCATCTGAATATCATTACAGTTGCAGTGCACTGAATGTATACAAAATGATATTTAACAAGAAGGGTGTTAAATGCACGTAACTTTAGGGTAACTTTTCAACACATCTGAACACACGAGCTTACATATGACTACATTCATATTTCATGTAAAAAACTCAAATTATTGAACTAGAGATGCATGGCTTTGTGCCTTAAGGCAAATTGCAACTTCTCGTACTGAAAATTAAAATTTTTTTAAAAGCTTTAAAATTTTTGAAAACTTTGAAAAAACAGTTTTTATCTTTTTTATTCTATCTCCGAAACCGCTGGACCTGTCTTTGCAAAAATTCTGAATTGCCATTCAAAATCTCTCAAGAACTGTATTACCATTTTTGGTATTTTTGTGTATGTATGTGTGGTCGTGTGTGTGTATGTATGTGCGGATACAAATTTTTACCGACGATTTTGGGAACACGGTTCAACTGATTTCAATGATTCAATGAACATTTGATACGTATTGATGGGAGACGTGGAGATTAGTTTCTAGCAAAGGCAGGTCCAGCCGTTTTGAATATATGGATCAAAAAGTGACCAAAATGGTAATTCAGTTTTTGAGATAAGGGAGCGTCAGATTTAAATCATTCCAATCAAATTTGAAACGTTTTATTTGTATTGACAAAATTAATAACTTAATATATTTTTGGGAAGGCAGGTTCAGCGGTTTCAAAGACCCAATAAAAAAAGTTAAAAGAAATGCCATTTGGCGGTCAAAAATGATCATTAGACATATGTAAATCAAATTATCAGATATTTTATATAGATTTTAATAGTAAGTACAAACTTTGTTTACATTTCTATAGGTTGCGTACCATTGTTATCCGTACGACTGCGACGTAGCGCTTACGCGCTTCTATGTTTTGTTTCTAAATCTGCTATGCAGCGCTATTGCTTTGAAAAAGTTCATTATTTTCAAAAAAATACAAAATATAAGATATAAAAAAATATTCAAAATTTTTCAAAAATGACAAATTTTTGGAAAGTTTCAAAATTCTCAAAACTCTAATTTTTTCAAAAATTTAAAGCTTTAAAAAAATAGTTGTCGGTGCGGAAAGTTGCAGTAATTTGCCTTAAGGCGCGATGCATCACTAAATATCGTTGCAGCGAATAATTTAAAATAATTAAATATCACCTGCTACGATGGCAGCAAGCGATCTGAAGGCCGCATGTTTGCTATTATTATTTTACAGCTTATTATCGTAAACCGGATTAAAGATTAAATAATAAAAAGACTATTCTACTTACTGTACAGTATAGAGATTCGTTCATTGATAGTTAAGGCTTGACGAAGCCATTAACAACCATGTGTTTTGTACACAGTGCGTATTTACAGAGATCAAAGCTTTCATAGCAGATGTACGTATGAATGACCTAGACAATTGTATTTACACAAGAAACTTGCTAGATGCAAAGAACAATATGCAATCAACTGCGTCAGCTTTTGCGAAGTGTTATCTTTATAAATTTAAGGATTTCCAGCTTTATATTTACAACAATCAGAATCTATCTGGATGCAATATTTGTTCAAATTTGCCTTTGATATTGTGCTTTGAAACTACCGTGGTAAGTTTGCTTTAGCAATAAATCAGTCAAAAAATTTCGAGTAACTAATGGTGCAAAGCATTGTTTCTTAAGGGAAATTGATACCGTATTTATAGAAATGTAAACATTTGTACTTATTATTAAAATCTCTATAAAATATTTGATAATTTGATGTACATGTATCTAATGATCGTTTTTGATATCCAACTGGTCTTTTCTATACCTTTTTCACTCGATCTCCGAAACCGCTACAAGTGCCATTCCAAAAATTTAATCAGCTTTCATCAGAAATCAGAAATTTAATCAGATTTGAAACTTAAAGATATACAAAAATTTTATTTATAAATATTAATATTATTATTGTATTTGTTATCTTTCGAGCGCTGATGCAAATCATTATAATTCTTATGTTTCTTTTACATAACGCTCGCGCAATATAAATAACATTATCCCACAAATTATTCATCCAAATATTTAAATTAACATAACTCATTGTCAAAATCATTTTGTAATATGTTAATGATTTCTTATAACAAATTATGCATATTTCCAATTTTGGTAATGTTATGGAAATTCAAGGGACGACCACGCTTGTACTTGGTGACCGAATTTCAACACAGCTTTTTGACATTCATATTCACGATAATGAAACATCGCATTTCAGCCTTGCGAACCCTTTCGTGCAATGTGAACTTTCGTGTTATTATAGAAAGAATGTGCATTCAGAAACAAATAGGGTAGAAAATTTACCCTTTAACCCAGTATAGCGTTTGGTAATAGAATGACGAAAATAGCGACGATACGGTGATTTCTTTCAGTTGTGATTTTTTTATTGTTTGAAATAATTGAATATAAATTAACAGTTTTGTGATTTTAAGGGAGTATTTTAGTCTAGTGTTTTCCAAGAAATCGATTTTTTTCAATCTTTCCATTGTTTTCTATTCAAGAATACGTTTACATAAAAAATTTTAAAAATTAAATTATTTACCACGATAATCTTCCTCTGTTTTTTTTCTGCGAAGTTTTTAACGCATTCTTCTCGAAATTGTCTTTTTGATACGATTCTTGACTTCTACTTGATCGATTTACTTGAAATTTTTAGAAACTTGTTTAAATTATGAACTATCTCAGGCTTCAGTATGAACATAACTTGGGTTCTTAACTTTGGTTGATAAAATCATGGGTATGGTCAGGTCCTAATTTTTGTAGACCATTTAAAAATATTGTATGCCATTTTTACGACTTTTTAAAAATTATTTCAAATTCATGCTTCTAGACCAGAATACTCCCTGAATGCTTAAAAATATAATCAAAAAAATAATCTTAAAGGCTAGTTATTTCTACAATTTATTTAATAAGAAAGATACATAATATCGTATTTATTTAATTACGTGACATGTTATATAGAATGTGTATATGTATTGTTGTGACACATCCAGCGACGGTGCCAACAATTCTTTCTGCTGCTAACAATGTTGTTACCAATCTGTGGAGGCTGATCAGTTAAACAGAAGAAGCCGTTTGATGTATTTTTATTTTATTTCATGATTTCTTGTACACTTTACATATAACTTCAACAACTGAACTTGAGTACGATTAAATATGATTAACTAAAATACGACTCTATTGAAAACTAAAATACTACTGAGCTCATTCTGAGTATGATTAAGGTATTGAACTTGAACGACGAATAGGCTCACACTGGTCATAACTCATACTTTATAGAAAATTGAATAAAATTTTATAGAAAACTGAACTTAAGCTCCTTTGGACTGATACTTTATAGAAAACTAAATTACGACTGACTAGCGAATGCATCGTTGCAATCTTTTTATGTGCTCCCCTTCAGGGTGATCTGAAGGCATTCCTAGATATTACCATATTTGACCATATTTGACTACTTGTTCAATGTTTTTGCAGAGTGATGAATCAATGTTATATGCATATTAGCAGTTTGAAAATGAATTTTATTAGTATCACACACTAGACTTGCCTAAGGTTACTTGCAGCATACAATGTTGCAGCAATGAGTATTTCACTACATTCTGCGTAGTTTGTATTCTGATCGCTATTGGATTTTATATATTATTTATAATTAATACGAATGGGTAGATACCTCTTATATTATATACAAATCAGCGATATAAATTGAAGACTTTCAACACAAATACTATGGCGAAACAGGTCGTCACTCTAGGGAATAAACTTAAGTAACTTAACATATACACTATGTACATCCTTCATATACTGCACCGCGGTTATTTTATTAATCTGCTTCTAATGTGAAAATACAAACTTTTACTTCTTTTTAAATGTTCTTTCTATGATATCTAGACCTTATAAACCCTCGGTGTTTAATTAACTATTACATTTGCCAAAAATTGATTTTTTTTATTTTTTTCTTAAATTTTCATTTCTTTTATTGGCCTCTGATGATTGTAATTGTATTTTAAACAAATATCTTTCTTTCAGAGCGGATAGCATCGGATCGTCGGATTTGGCACCGACGCCTTGTCCGGGGCTCGGGGAATCATTTGCGAACGATACCGCCGAGCCTCGTGAACTCTGCGAACCAGCGCCGCCTTACTCCAGAATGTTGCAAGTGCAGGCCGGACGCATCGAACTGGTCAACTCGCAGAGTCGAGCTCGCCATGCGGACACGGTAAGTCACTCAGAAATAAAAATTACACTAATTAACATTTCTGAGATTATTATCGATCAATCTGTTGCGACAGATAAAACAGATGCTCTCTCTATCTGAGAACTGTGTTCCTTGGTAATATCATAAAAAGATCATGCAATTCCTATCACCAATGCATATGCAACATACTGAAAATTCAAATTAGGCCCAACGGATGCTCAAAATATATATATATATATATATATATATATATATATATATATATATATATATATATAGTAGAACCCCGTTAAGACAATCATGGTAATATGATAACTCTCATAATACGCCACTTAACGCCGCTACTCTGCATTTTGAAACATAGTGTCCCTATCCTAAATAATACGCTTTCTTGATTAGGACGCGTTTTTGGTCCGGTCCTTATGAAATTAACACTTCTTTATTACAATATGTCAAAATTGATTGCGAAATCAAAAAATCTATCTCTTTGTCTTGTCTATTCATATTTCTTGCTCGTTTCAAGTTTATTTTTATTGAATTTTTTAGTTCATTCATGTTGAAGTTGCAGCGTTCGCCTAATGTACCCCTATTCGCGCGACATCTTCTCAGGTTGCTTTTATGCAAAAGTTTTGCACAACAGTCAACTTCCTTCAAAAGAGTTTGTATAATTTGTATAATGCAGGTGCTCGACTATGCAGAACTTCGCAAACTATTCTTAATATCTTGCTTTGCTAAGTTTTTAAATTGTGAGTTGATTGCTTGATGTATGCATAATTGATGACGAATCTAGTTCAAGAAGATTTTCGAATGATATTTCACATTCAAAAATTAAAACGACAGAGATAAAACACTTTTAGTTAATCATATATGCATATGCAGATGGTATTTTTCTGCAACTAACAGAATGGCTTTTAGTAATCAAAATGGCCTAACACATTCAACATGGGTAGATAAAAATCTCTGGATAATTCAGAAGAGATATTTTATTCAATTTTTATAATAATTGCAATATATAATTTGGTTTAATAATTTGTTGCTCTGAATTCTTTTCGTTTCTATATTTATTTGATTTTAGTCATTTGAGTATCAAATTTTTTAAAATATTTGATTTGATTAATGAATATTTTTATCAAAAATTGATTAGAATTAATGCTTTGTAAATTTGAACTATTATCAATCGAAAATGATTTTTTTATACTTTTTACGTTTCAAAGTCTTCTGAATATTTTGGCATACCTTAGAAAAATAGATATGTGAGTGTGTGTGCTTGTGTGTATGGATGTGTGGATACAATTTTTTGTCAACAATTTTGAGAACAGGGATCAACCGATTTGAATGATTCAAAAAACATTCGATTTCTATTGGTGGGGAGACGTGCTGAACAGTTTTTGGTTAAGGCAGGTCTAGTCGTTTTGAAGATAAGGGGCATTGCCAAAAATAGTAATTCAGTTTTTGATAAAACGAAGAGTCCGATTTGAATAAATCAAAAAACATTTTACTTGTATCGACGAAATGAAGAACTAATCAATTTTTTGGGAAGACTTGGATAGTTTTAGTAACATTTTCGGGACTCTATAATGTTAAGAAAGCCATAATCACAATCCTGTAAGTTGTTGACCTTCATTGTCACAGTCTTGTTGCAGTAATCAGTTCAAACGTGTTAAGGCACGATGCCATGTACCACTAGTTAGTATATATATTCAGTCGGGAAGTAAGTTCTCAGTGCAATGCAGGGTTATACATGCGATATTTTGTTTTAGAACCATTCGTATAATCTATATATAATGTAGGTGCCACTATACAGAACTTTGCAAACTATCGTTAATGCACTGCTTTACTGTGCGCCCACGTTTTCCAACTTTCACTACGTTAAGCCAATTTATTTTTCAGTTATTGTTCAGGAAACGCAAGTTTAATATTTTATTAAATGATATTAAAACGTTCTTATTGTGAAGATGGTTATTTTAATTATATAACTATTGACTTTGGTCGTAAACTTAATACGGTAGAGGTTCATTTTATGAGCAAAACTACTTTCACTATATCTGTGCTGTTTATTTATGTCTGCCCGTATTCATTCATTATATACCGTTTTAGTACGTAATAATATCCGTTGATCTATGCTGCACTGTAATTATCACGAATCGATTTAATTTATACCTCGAACACAGTAATAGATATTTATGCAGATGCTTGAAAATTTATAAAAAAAGCATTTTATTCGATAAAAAATACAATTAATCATATTAGACTGTTCATAGATATTTTGAAATATATTGTTATCAATTTATTATTAACGTTTATTTTGTTTGAATTTTTCAAAAACGTGCACAAAATAATAAAATTAGCTCATCCTTAGTTAAACGATTAGAGCGACGAGATTTGATTTAGAGGTTTGCAGTTCGATACCCGTTTCGAGCAGCCTGATGTCAAGCAATAGTGACATAGGTTTTTACTTGGAAATAGAGATAGCAATAATATTATAATACGTTTCCAAGCGAAAATAGCCCTAATCGCACCCAAAAAAAACAACAGTATTAGATTTATTCTAATAAGAATTATACTAAAAAAGACAGGACAATCTATCCAAAAAACTGTTGCATCTAACTTGAAATTAACAGATTAGAAAACAATTATGGCATAGTTTCAATTATCACTAATACACATTTTGTAAATTACTTTTGATAACATGAAATTAATTTCTATATATTTATTTAAATTTCAACAGTCAGAATAGTAGATTTTTCTTACAGATGATAATCAAAATTATTTTAATATCGAGTATTTTTGAGGAGCTAACCCTTAGTGTACCTTTTGTCGTGGAATGAGAAGCCAAAATATAAAAAATTCACAAACACGAACATCCCGCACTCAATAGTCATTCCCTGGCATGAAGAAACCATTAGGCTCGCACTTCAATGTGTTTTTACTTATCTTAAACTTAATTGAAAAGCTTTTTTCTTGTTTCTTTACAACAAAGACTTTTTTGTCTAAACAGTTTTATCAATTATGAATGCAAACGCAAAATCAAATTTAATTTTTTTCTGTTTTTTATAACATCTTTTTATTTCTGTTTATTTTTGTTGTATGAGGTATCGACAAAGTGTTCGTTCATTTATTTTCTGAGAAAACAGTTACAATGTAATCACGATTTTTGTGGGCACTTTTCTTTTCACATTTTTTAATATCACATTAGGGGAGGCTAGGAATCTTAAAATTTATCCATGTGATTGCAAATAGTTTATATAATTGTTTCTAATTTCAGCAACTATTAAGTTGCATACTCTTTTATTTGATTTCGCACATTTTTGTTTGACACATAAAATATCAATATATTTTGCTTTTATGGTAACAGTTGTCATACAAGAAAATTTATTGTTTGCATGAAATCAAATTGATACAAACTCTCGTTCATATTCATGAAAATAAATACCATCTTATTACACTAGTTATTAATAGTAAGTGGCATCGTGTCTTAAGGCAAATTGCTGGTACGTCCCGTACCAAAAATAAAAATTGTTAAAAGGCCTTAAAGTTTTTTGAAAACTTAAAAAAAAGAGATTTTTGAAAAAATGATTTTTTTATATTTTGAAATTTCTTGAAAATTTTGAATGTAAATGTATATAAAAATTTTCATTTTCGAATTTTTTGCGATTAATATAACTTACTTTACGGCAAGCTAATAATTTACATATTTTATTCCAATTTTCTCTGATTATTAAATTGAAAAGTTAGTCGGCCACCCCGAATGTCTTGTATCTCAGATACGATCATTAAATGCCCCGCAAATGAATTTTATTTTATTTTTGCTTAGACGACATTTATGTCCCATTTTCTTATTATGGTGTATTCGTCGTCTTTTATCTTGTGTGTTTTATATCGCAATATTTACAATTCTGCGCCGTTTCGAAAGCGATTTGCAAAAATACGCTGGGTGTCTTTTAAGCTGAGTTTATTCAAAGTGCTCTAGTATTGGAAACCCTGGGGCTCGAATTCAGCGTTTCGTTTTATTCATATTATTAAATTTTTCATATTCTTAGAAAGAAATATATTAATGTGTTTTACGTAACGGGATTGTGTGTTAATGAAATCTTCGTGTGATAAATTTCTTGTATCAATTGGCATATTTAAAAAGCCATGGAAATTTCGGTAGATTTTTGGCTCTTTGGTTATGACGACAACGTAAATGTGGACTGCAGTGAACTATTTTTATATAAGTTTTTTTGCTTAATTAAAGCTAGTTTTGAGCATTAGTGTTACTGGAACAAATTATTTGATCGTAGTCTTTGCTGATTAATTTTATGTATGGCGGTGTACATCGGTCCAATTTTACTTTGAGCAATTATAATGTGATAAGTTGATTATAATAATTATATCACAACAAATAACACATATCAAACAAACAACTATCTGACTATATTTAGTAAAACTCCCAGCTAATTTATAATAGTAGAAATGTCTTCTTTTTGCTGTTTTTCAAATGTTTGTCACCTGTTTCTTTTTACACTATAGACAGTTTCATTCAAATAATAAATTTTCTTATATTTCTATATATTTCTTTCTTATGCAACTGTTACCATATAAGCGATATATATTCATCCTTTATGTGTCAAACCAAAATGTGCCAAATCAAATAATAATTCATAGAGAGTATTCAGCCTACTAGTTGCTGAAATTGCAAGAAGCAACTGTATAAAATATTTGAAATCATTTGCATAAATTTCAAGAACCCTAGCCTTCCCTAATGTAATATTAAAAAATGTGAAAAGAAAAGTGCCGACAAAAATCGTGATTACATTGTAACTGTTTTCGCATAAAATAAATGAACCCACTCTTTGTCGATACTTCATACAACAAAAATAAACAGTAAATCAAAAGATGTTACAAAAAAAACAACAAAAAATTGATTTTGCGTTCGCATTCATAATTGATAAAGCTTTTTAGACAAAAAAGTCCTTGTAAAGAAACACGAAAAAAGCTTTTCAATTAAGTTTAAGTTAAGTAGAAACACATTGAAGCTA